CCCCCCCCCCCTCCCTCCCTCCCTCCCACCCTCCCCTAAACCCCCGCCATCCCTCCCGCCCTCTGTTCGGCGTCACCGCCACCACCCCGATTGTCATTGCGAAATACTTTCAAACTAAGAGTTATTTGGACTTTTTCTTGATCCATTTAATTTGCAAACAATATTATCCTGCTATTGTCCGACAGTCAAAAATAGCGATAAGATTCATAGTGAAAGTAACGGAGTGAAGCCGTGGAAACTTAAACGAAATACATCATTTTTATAAATATACACTCATAGGATATTAAATATTTCCGTGTAGTGGGAGCTTTCAAAAAGTCACGCGACAAGCCCTTTCCCGATGTACTTTATTATACTGCGACGACACGCTGGAGGCCTCGTTGCAAAAGGTTAATTGACATTGAATTCGCAGGTAGATGCCGGTTTTGTCTATTTTACGTTAAATAAAATATTAACGAGTTTGAAAGTCTCGGGACTAATTGGGAAGTTTTGGCCGGCAATCGGGCGATGATGATTACGATACGAGCCGTGGCCAACAGAATTCTTAATAAACGAATACAATCGATGAGTCTCGTATCGCCGGAGAAACGACATCGTATACGACGGAATGTTATTTCTTCAATCTCGCATGCTGAGAAAATCGGCGTGGCTGCCGTTGATTTCGACTTGCCATGAACTCGTGTTACGAATACTTGCAAATCATCCCAGCTACTGTCGTGTACTCTACGCATTCATCACGGCTCATCCCATTCGTCAAAATTATCCTTTACGTGCCAGTACGTGCCGTAAACACGACTCTCTACTATCCTACACAAATACATTGGCATTGTAATATTATAAAGCCCTACTTTAGCGAAGGCACTTTAATGGCCGGGATATAGTGACTTGAGGTGGAATAAGAGCGAAAATCGCTATAGCTAGAGGTTCAGACTTGGAGTGGATGAAAAGTAGAAGCTTACAAGACATTAAAGTAAATCAATGGACGATCAATGGTCGCCAAAGTGCTTTGACCAAAGGATCTTAACAAAAAACAAGCACCACGGCAACTCGTGCATTAATTCTCCTGAAAATGCGATAGTCGATGTACACGCCGTGTATCCCCAGCATCCAACGCAGATCGCTTCCGTTACATCGGCAGCAGATCCTTCGTACCCTGATAGCCGTTGGACAAAAGCGCAGCGAGAAATTTCGAATACATCCATCTAAAGGCGTGTCGACAAATTCTCTTCCCGTGCGCTCGACTCCGCTATCAGCAGATTTACAAACTTCGTTTATCATTCAGAACGTTTCGCGGACCTCCAAAGTCTTCATTAGTCTTGCCCTTCCTTCCTCGTCGCCTCTCGCTCTCTATCCCATCGACCGTCCATTCAGACGCCCGAAAAGTTTGTCGCACCGTTAAAGAGACGTGAAAGCCTCTACTCCTCCATGCGACTTGACGAGCTGTAGGAACTCGTCCGCCACGCTGGCCCAGGAAACGCCCGGCGCTCGACGAGAACACCAAGCATCTCCCAATACCAGTCGACGTCAAATGCAAGTAGTAACGGAGGTCCGCACCGCGATGTACGCGATTGGCATTGAATTGCGTTGAGAGCGAGCGGTAAGGACGCCGCGGTCCCTCCCAATCCTTATAATAACGCGTCCCACGCTCTGTCCGAGGCGCGGGCGAAAAAATGGGATAAAAACGCGGACGTCGGACTTTCTCCTCGCGGCCTCTCACAAAGCGGCGCGCGCGCGCGCGCGCCTCGTGGAATTCGCGGCTGGCATTCCGCGCGTTTCTCATGCAAATGGAGGAGGAGAGGCGGAGGTCGCGCTAAAAGCGCATAACAGTACGCGGTCCTCGCGCGAGGGCCAAGTCCGCCTGCCGCTCGAACAATCGCCCATTCAGTTGCGGCCGCCTCGGGCGCGGCGGGCGCGGCGGGCGCTAGGAGGCGGCAGCGTCGGGGGTGACGGAGGAGGATGGTCGATCTGGGTGGTGGAGGATGAGGAGGGACGAGGGCGTTACGTGGGATTGAAGCAGGGGAGGGGAAGGGCGAGGGCGAGGGCGAGAGCGAGGGCGAGGGCGATGGCGGGGCGGGGAGGGGGAGGGGGGACACAGGACGAGGGGCGAGGGGGCATTTGTGGGTTATCAGCGCGAGGAAACAATGGGCCCGCGGAGATAAAGCCCCGGCTAACTGTAAACGTACGGCGCGTACGGGCGAGCACTAGCGGCTCGGAAGGCTTTCTTATCCCGTGATTAGCGATTCAATTGCGCGCCGCGAATTTAACGACGCGATTGAATTTCGCGGATCGGACGGTATGGGCGGGGTCGCGCGTTCGGCGAACATTTTTCTTCATGGGGTACTGCCGCCACCGCCGTCGCCACCGCCTAATCAGTCGTGCTCGTTACAT